AGAGATTGGAACTCCCATACACTACTGGTAGGACTGTAAAATGATATGGCAATTCCTTAAAAAGTTGTTATTAGAAATACCATTTGACCCAGTAATCCCATTACTAGGTATATATCCTAAAGAAGTGAGAGCCATGACAAGAACAGATATATGCATACCCATGTTCATCGCAGCGCTATTTGCAATAGCCAAAAGATGGAAAGAACCTAGGTGCCAATCAACAGAAGAATGGATAACTAAACTATGATACATACACACAATGGAATACTATGCAACCCTAAATAATAATGTAGAATCTGTAAAACACCACATAATGTGGATGAACTTGGACAACATTATGCAGAGTGAAATGAGCCAATCACAAAAAGACAAATACTGTATTAGTCCATTATTATAAAAAGTCAAGAAAAAGTTTATATACGAAAAGAAATTTTCTTTGTTGGTTACCAGGGGTAGGAAGGGGAGAGGGGAGACACTGCCTCATAGGTAGGGACAAGTATTGATCTGTGTGAAGGGAAGGGCAATGTACCAAATTTGAGTGATCAACATGGTAACACTGAGGAAGAGGAAGACATAGAAAGGTGCATGGGAGGTGCAGACAACAAAGGTGAACCCTTTTCCCCATACAGTACTGCACTGTCAGTGATGGCAAACATTGACATACGGGTAGATAGATGGGTGGACAGGCTGAACTTATTAGGTATGTCTATGCAGGGGAGAGTGTGCCCATGACATGTATAGGGTTGGCAGGCAATGTTTCTACAAGTGTATTTGTATGTTCTGTAAGAATTCCCAGGTATACAGTAGAGCTGACAAGGGACAAGGTTGTGTTCACTTCTTGGCCACAAGCCAGCTACCCAGAGGAAGTAAGTAATTGGACCTGTGGGCTTGGGACCATGGCCACAGGGGACATTAAGCTCAATTGGCATAACATACTACACAAAAACACAAAAACATTGTTCCACATCCTACTTTAGTGAGTAGTGATTGGATGATAAAAGCTTTCAAGTGGGCATCTAGATGCAATGATGGGTCTCTCCTCATCCAGATCAAAGAAGAATGAAGAAAACCAAAGATGCATGGAAACAATTAGTCCAAGGGACTGGTACACCATGCGATCCTCAGCCTATACAACTATGAGACCAGAAGAACTAGATGGTGCCTCAGTAACACTGTCAACCACTGAGAGGGATCTATGTAGGAGATCCTGGATAGAGAGGGAGAACAATGTGGAACAAAACTAAAAATCATTTGGGAAAAAAAGGGGGAGGGGACCAGGTTTGCTGGTCTGATAGAGCCTGATGGAACCACTGAGACTATGGCCCCTAGCTGCCCTCCAGGTCTGGAATTGAACGCACTCCTGTGGCTTCCAGCCAAACAAAGACAGGCATATGAGCTGAACATTTACATTAGGTAGATACACTCCTTGGAGAGATCAGTAATGGGAAAATAGAAGGGCTGTGTATGCACAGAGAGAGAGCTCAGGAGGCAGGAGTGCATGGGAGAGAAGGACACAAGGAAGAGGTAACTATGAGAAGGAAGTGGGAGGGGAGCTGTTGCATTGTGGGAAATTGCAGCCAATGTCATGAGACAAAGTGTATGGGAACTGCTGTATGAAAAATGAATTTGCTCTGTAAACTTTCACCCAAATCATAACAAAAATATTTTTAAAAGGGGAGGGGGAAGGAGGCAGGAAAGGAAGAAAAGACCAAAATGGTTGTCAGAAGAGCCTCTGAAACTTGCCCTTGAATGGAGAGTAGCTAAAGCAAATGGAAGAAATGACAAGATGAAAGAGCTAAACAGATTTCAAAGAGCAGCTCATGAAGACAAAATGAATTATTATAATGCAATGTGCAATGACCTGGAGTTAGAAAACCTAAGGGAAGAACACACTTGGCATTTCTCAAGCTGAAAGAACTGAAGAAAAAACAATCAAGCCTCGAGTTGCAATATTGAAAGATTCTACGGGTACAATATTGAATGATGCAGGAAACATCAAATGAAGGTGGAAGGAACACACAGTCACTGTATCAAAAAGAATTGGTTGATGTTCATGCATTTTAGGAGGTGGCATATGATCAAGAACCAATGGTATTGAAGGAAGAAGTTGAAGCTGCACTGAAAGAAGTGGCAAAAAACAAGGCCCCAGAAATTGACAGAATACCCATTGAGAAATTTCAACAAATGGATGCTGCACTGGAGACACTCACTTGGCTATGCCAAGAGATTTGGAAAACAGCTGTGGGCCAACTGACTGGAAGAGATCCATATTTGTACCCATTCCAAAGAAAGGTGATCCCACAGAATGTGGAAATTATCGAACAATATCATTAATATCACATGCAAGTGAGATTTTACTAAAGATAATTCAAAAATGCTTGCAGCACAATATTGACAGAGAACTTCCAGAAATGCAAGCTCAATTCAGAAGAGGATGTGGAATGAGGGATATCATTGCTGATGTCAGAGGGATCTTGGCTGAAAGCAAGGAATACCACAAAGATGTGTACTTGTGTTTTATTGATGGAAAAGCATTTGATTGTGTGGATCATAACAAATTATGGATAACATTGAAAAGAATGGGAATTCCAGAACACTTAATTGTGCTCATGAGGAATCTATACATAGACCAGCAGGCTGCCATTCAAACAGAACAAAGGGATACTACATGGTTTAAAATCAGCAAGGGAGTGCATCAGGGTTGTATCCTTTTACCATACTTATTCAATCTGTATGCTGAGCAAATACTCCGAGAAGCTGAACCATATGAAGAAGAACATGGGATCAGGATTGGAGGAAGACTCATTAACAACCTGCGATATGAAGATGACACAACTTGGCTCACTGAAAGTGAGGATGACTTGAAGCACTTAGTGATGAAGATTAAAGGCTACAGCCTGCAGTATGGATTACACCTCAAAGAAAAGGAAAATCCTCACAACTGGACCAGTAAGTAGCATCACAATAAATGGAGAAAAGATTGAAGTTGTCAAAGATTTCACATTACTTTGTTCCACAGTCAACATCAATGGAAGCAGCAGTCAAGACATTAGACAACACATTACACTGGGCAAATCTGCTGTAAAAGACCTGTTTGAAGTGCTGAAGAGCAAAGATGTCTATTGGAAGACTAAGGTGAGCCTAACCCAAGCCATGATATTTTCAGTCACCTCATCTGCACGTGAGAACTTGATAATGAATAAGGAAGACCAAAGAAGAGTTGATGTTTTTGAGTTGTAGTGTTGGTGAAGAATGCTGGAAGTACCATGGACTGCTAAAAGAAGTAACAAATATGTCCTGGAAGAAGTGGAGCCAGAATGCTCCTTGGAATTGAGAATGGCCAGACTTCATCTCACCTACTTTGGTCACATTGCCAGAAAGGACCATTCCCTGGAGAAGGATATCAAGCTTGGTAAAGTGGAGGGTCAAGAAAAAAGAGGAAAGCCCTCAATGAGATGGACTGACACAGTGGCTGCAATGATGGGCTCAGGTATAGCAAGGATTGTGAGGCTGGTGCAGGACCAGGCAGTGTTTCATTCTGTTGGATATAGGGTCGCTATGATATGAGGTGATTCAACAGCACCTAACAACAACAACATTAATTTGGGTGAAGGGAAAGGCAATATAACACGGCAGGTGGTGATCAGTACAGTATCTCCAAGGCAATGGAAGACTGTGCAAGGTGCACAAGAGTTACAGAAAACAAAGGTAAATACTATTACATATACAAACCAGCAATATCAGTGATAACAAACAATAATCTATGAGTGGATACATAAGCAGACATGGAAACTGAACAGGTATAGGAAGGTGATCAGGACTACGCCTACCACCATATATAGGTTTGGCAGAGGATATTTTATATATATATATTTATATGTGCTATAAATATATACAAGGAGTGCTGGTGGCACAGTGGTAAAGCATTCAGTTGCTAACTAACATGTTGGTGGTTCAAACCTACCAGCCACTCCTTGGGAGAAAGATGAGACAGTTTGCTTCCATAAAGATTTATAGTCTTGGAAATGCTATGGGCAGTTCTATTTGTCCTATAGGGTCACTGTGAGTCGGAATCAACTCAATGGCAGTGGTTTTGGTTTGGTAAATATATCCATGTATATAGTAATAAGGAGGCAAAGTTATGAACACCTCTTAGCCATCACCAAACCCTTTATCTGCATGAGTCACTGTGCTTAGAGGCTTAGGACTACAGTCTAAGGGGACAGCTAATTCAATTGGCATAACACAGTTCACAAAAAACAATATTCTACACTCTACTGTGGTGAATATTAACTGAGTTTTTAAAAACTAATGAGAAGCCATCTAAGATGTGACTATTGGTCTCTCCTTGTTGCAGGAAAAAAGAGTGAATAAAACCAAAGATTCAAGGAAACAATTAGTCCAAAGGACTAATGAACCACAGGCTCCACTGCCCTGAGATAAGAAGAGCTAGATGGTGCCCAGCTACCACTACTGACCACTCTGATTGGTACCACAGGAAGTCCTGGACAGAATGGGAGACAAATGCACAATAAAACTTTAAATCATAAATAAGATCAGACTTATTTTTCTGATAGACTGGTGGAACTCTCAAGACTATAGCCCTTAGTCACCATTCAAACTTGGAACTGAACGTACCCTGGGGGATCACCTTACTACCAAATGACAGATGGGCCTATAAAGCGAACAATAACATTTGTGAGAAGTATAGTACTCAGAATGATCAATCATATGAGACAAAAAAAAAAAAAAAGGCAGCATTTTCCCAAAAACAAAGGTCAGAAGGCAGGAAAAAAGGACAAATGGAAATTAGGAACTCAGGAAGGAAGAGGGAAGAATGTTGTTACATTGAGGGAATTGCAACTAATGTTACAAAACAAAAATTTTGAATGGAATAGTAATTTGCTCTCTAAACTTTCACTTAAACCACAATTTAAAAGGAAAAAAAAAAAGTATCACTTCTAAAATGTGCCTTTGTTTACACTGCATCTCTTTTTCAGATTACTACATCTTTTCTATTGGTCTAGCGATGCTGGGAAAATTTGGGATCACCTCTGCTTTCTCCATGCTGTATGTCTTCACTGCAGAGCTCTACCCCACCATGGTCAGGAACATGGCTGTGGGTATCACATCCATGGCCTCCAGGGTGGGCAGCATCATCGCTCCCTACTTCGTTTACCTCGGTGAGATGCATCTTACCAGTTTGTCCTTTCTTTAAATTCATTTTAAAAATAAAAATAATAGATACTCCTTACGAAAAATTCAAACAGCACAGAGAATGGTAGACAAAAGTACAGGCTCACCTTTACAAGGATAACAATCAGCCAAAAGCAAATCCTTACTTTTCACTTCTCTGTTCGGGTCTAACACCAGTCATCCACGCAGTACTTCATTCTCTGACTCTAATCGCCTGGAACTAGGTCAGACCTCACAAGTTAAAGGAAACGGTCCTCTAGATGGCCAGGTAGGCCAAGACTTCAGATGCCAGCTGCAAGCTTGGGTGTCCCCCTGACACCCATACTTCTGACTTGATGACTATAAGTTCCAGGTTTCTTGCTACTCGTTCAGGATGCCAACTGCAAGCTCGGAGGTCCTTAGCCCCACACCCTTTACTCTGACCTGCTGGCTCCCGGTACTTTATTGGGTTTGATAATTCACTGAAACAATTCACAGAACTCATGGAGAGTATTATGAATAGTTTTATTATAGAGAAAAGATACAAATAAAGAGATGCAGCAGGCAAGGTCTGGGAGGATTCCCAGTGCAGAGCTACCATGTCCCAATAAGGAACACACTACACTCTTATGTGCATCAATGTTTTTCACCAACCAGGAAGCCCGTGGAGCTTCAGTGTCCAGAGCTTTTATTGAGGTCTCGTTGTTGTTGTTGTTAGGTGCCATCGAGTTGATTCTGACACATAGCGACTCCATGTACAACAGAACAAAGCACTGTCCTGTCCTGCACCATCCTCACAATCCTTGCAATGTGTGAGCCCATTGTTGCAGCCACTTTGTCAATCCATCTCATTGAGGGTCTTCCCCTCTTTCTCTGACCTTCCACTTTACCAAGCAGGATATCCTTCTCTAGGGACTGGTCCCTTCTGACCATATGATCAAAGTAGGTGAGATGAAGTCTGGCCATTCTCATTTCTAAGGAAGCAATAATAAGACCTCTAGCTACCACTCATCTTTCAGTTTGTTGTACTGTGATGGCTTGCATGTTGCTGTGAGGCTAGAGGCTATGCCACTGGTATTTCAAATACCAACAGGGTCACCCATGGTGGACAGCTTTCAGCACAGCTTCCAGACTAAGACAGACTGGACATCCACTTTTGAAAGAATTGGCCACTGAGACCTTATGAATAGCAGTGAAACTGTCTGATATGTTACAGGAGAGGTCAGTCAATGCAAGCTCCAGGTCCCTCTTCTCTGAGGTCAGTCAATGTCACAAAGGGATCATGAGGTTGATCTTTCTGACCTGGCCAGCCTCACCCTAGAGTCAACTCATCACCTCACTTAACCTATTAGTTGGGTATGGTCTAGAGCAGACATAGCTACTGAAAATAGTGCCTATGGCAAGCACTGAAATTGTGTCCCTGTGCAAACATCTGACACTCATCTTTGAGATAACTTTAATATTAGGTCAAAAACACAAGTTAAGCCAATTAATCTTTTACTTAACACCTTATGGCACTGCATGGAAATTACAACAACACTTTCTTTGCTTTCACTGATGAAATTGGTCTATGATGTGCTCAGTCTTTTTTTCCAGTTTCTTCCCTTTCTACCCTCAGCAGTTAAAGATCACACAGTCTACCTTAACCCATGGAGTCTTTCAAATACCAAAGTATTTGTTATAAATTACTGAATGAATTACAGCTGGCAATGGAAACTGCCATGTTCAATAGAAACTGCTTAGTGGTGCCCTCCTTCAAGTAGCGCCCAGGGCAAGTGTCATACCTGACATAGCTGAGACACAACTCTAGTCTGGAGTCCTTATCAAAGATATTTAAATTCCAATATTTTTTTAAAAGTGATTATGTCTTAGGAACTGAGGACAAAGACCAAATTCTTTGGGTAAAGTTAATGTAAACCCTGCACCTCTCCTCTCCCCGGATTCCCTTATCAGAGTACCAATATTAACTGTTAAGTGAGTAGTCCTTCAGACACTTTGTTTTGCACAAGTATGTATATTTATATATGTACACACATAAAACACATAAAATTATATTACACATATTGTTTTGCAACTGCTTTTATTTAATGTAACATTATTCCAGAGTATCTTTCCATATTGGTATATATAGCTCTTCTTCTTTTTTTTAAATAGCTACATAGTGTTCCAATGTATGTATATATACATAATTTATTTACTCAGGTTCCAATGGATGGACATTTAGGCCATTTCCAGGTTTTGCTATTATAAATAAGACTGTAATGAACATTCTTCTACTGTGCCTTTGTGCATTTATTTAGAGTTATCTGAATTCATGGATATATTAATGAAGTTAAATTGCTAGAACAATGAATGCCTTTTAAATGTTTTGTAGATATTGCCAAACTACCTCTAAAAATTATACCAATTTATAATCCAACTATAAATATCAGAGAGTACCTGTTTTCCCCCATCCTCACTTACAGTGGAGATTATCTAATTTTTTAATCATTGATAATCTGTTACATGAATAACAGATATCATTGTTACTTTTATTCCATCTCTTTAATTAATTATAAATGAGTTTGAGCATTTTTTCCATATGTTTATTGGCAATTCTGTGTATTTTCCATCGAGCTGACTGCTCTTGTCTTTTTTTCCATTTTTTAACGGTTTATTCATCTTTTTCATTTTGATTTGTGAGAGCTCTTTGTAACTGGAGGAAATTAGCCATACAAATATATATATTTATACATATATAGCAGAGTCCCTGGGTGGTATAATTGGTTAAGCACTTGACTATTAGCCAAAAGAATGGCAATTCGAACCCACTTTGAGATGCCTGACAATCTGCTTCCAAAAGGTCACAGCCAGTTCTGCTCTGCACATGTGGGGTCACCAAGAGTCAGAATTGACTCAGGGCAACAACAATGACCAATACACACACAGACACACACACACATATTCTAAACACTTTTTCTAGTTTATTGTTTGCATTTTAGCTTTATAATATTTTTTGAAATATAGAAAATTTTAGCTTTTATCTAATTGAATATATCAGTCTAGAGTAACAGATTGATTACATACAGAGCAGCATACAGAGTGCCAGCACACATAAAGATGAGAGGCTGCAGTGGGATATTCGGGGTAGGATCTGGCACTCCAAGCCTAGTTCTCATTAAGGATTTTGCTCTTTAGAGATGCAGACTTACCTCCTTATCCTTCCTAGTCATCCACTGGTTATCCATTCAAGCACACACACCCTGCCCCCAAAAAACCACATAATAGTCTCATAAAAGGTATACTCTAAATCCTTACAGAGAAAGAGAAACAGTTCCCTAACCTAAGCCTACCTGCCCAGCTGCCCTGGACCACACATTATTATACAAAGTGATGTGACTTCCCCTTTGTTTTTTCCTGTGCTTTCAAACCATGCACAGATGATCCAGTGGTGGACCAGAAGAAACAAATCCAAGACAGAGCTTTCTACTCCATGATAGTTAATCCTCTTATCTACACAAAGCCTTCAGGGAAGCTTCAGGATCAATGTTTTTCTTTATGTTTTGGGTCAGATCAAATTCTTGGGTGTGCTATTTCTCTGTAATCTCTGTAAGCAGAGGAAAAGGAAGATGAGGTCTGTTTTTCTGTCTGAGTAACCCAGATAAAGAAGAACTGGGGGTAATTTTTCTAATTACATGCAAAACCAAGACATAGAAATGTTCTTTCCTGTGTTAATATTATTAGATATTATTAGATAAAATCTCAATTTCAAAAACAAAATGAAACGATTCCAGGCACTGTGCTTTCATAGAATATGTGCCTGACATATAAATGGTTAAATTGAAAATATTACTTGCTTTAACATTTTATTTTAGAGTCTCATGGCTCTGTAGATCTAGTTTTCCACTGAACCCCATTAGTTTGGGCAAAAGTAGAGCTCACACCTGCCTTTTTTATGGCCAGAACCTGTCCTTGCAACATGTTGGTCAACCTCTTTCCACTAATGTCCTCCCATCCCCCATCTCCAATAACCTCCACCTTAGGAGGGGAACTTTGGTAGGCAAAAGTTCCATCAAAGGATTATCTGTCACACATGATTAGGTAGTAGCTTAAAGAGTACCAGTAGACAGGAAGACACTTATAATTATACAACATCAAGAAGGTAAATGATTATAGAAATAGAGTCAATAGAATCTACCAAGAAGAAACCTGGTATTTTGCTTAAGTTTTTTTTTTTTTTTTTTGTCTTCTGAAAATGTCCACATTTAAAACTGTTTTCAAATTCTATTTGACACCCTTACAAAGTGATTCTCAAGAGCATCCAGAGAATCCCTATTTTGTGTTTCATGGTCTAATTGAAGTTCTTTTGTTCCATGCTCTACAGGTGCTTATAATAGAATTCTGCCCTACATCCTCATGGGTAGTCTGACTGTCCTGATTGGAATCCTAACTCTTTTCTTCCCTGAAAGTTTTGGGACAACTCTGCCAGAGACCTTTGAGGAGATGCAGAAAATGAAAGGGTAAGTGGAGCCTGAAAAAAATACCAAAATTCCTCAAAAAGAATAAATACACAAGAATAGCAAAAAATGTTCTGAAAAAGAAGACTAATAAGTAGAAACTAGCTCAATCAGATAATAAAGCATATTATAAAGCAATGGTGATTAAAACAGTGTGATGATGATATAGGAATAGAAATCCATGGAGTAAAATAGAGTTCAGAATTAAACTCAAGAAATATGAGAATTCAGCAGATGATGAAAGTGATGATTCAAAATCAGTGAGGGAAAAGATACATTAGTCAATAAAAGGTATTAGGACATTGAACTATGCATTTTTGGGGGGAAGAAATTTGATTCTATTTCCAAGTATATCAAGATAAATTCTAGAGAGATTTAAAAAAATAAGCCTAAAATATAGAATCATGAGTATACCAGAAGAAAACAAATATTTTTATGATCTTAGAGAAGAGAAGACCTCTCTGGACATAATAGAAAAAGCAAAGAATAATAAAGGAAAGTATTAGTATGTCTGATAATACAATTTAAAAATGTGTTGGTATGGCAAAAAAAGAACGCATAAATAAAGACAAAAATCAACAAAGCTGGGAAAAATATTTGCAACACACACACGGTAGATTTGAGGCTTATACACAAAAAGCTCTTCACAATCAGTGAGAAAAAGATAACTCAGTAGAATAACTGGCAAAAGGCAGTAAGTTTATAGAAGAATAAATATAAGTGGCCAATATACATTTAAAAAAATTCCACTTAAAAAAAATACAAAATAAAACAATTTTATAGCTTTTTTTTTACCTATGATATTGGTATTTAAAAGTTTAGTGGTATAGTAGAAGTTTAAGTTCTAGAGTGAAACTTCCTGCCATCAAACCCCAAATTCCCTACATATATTTGGACAAATTTAATTCCCCTTAAGCCTTAGTATTCCCTTCTGTTACATGGAAATATCTCTTATGACTATTGTGAGTCTATATTAAATGAAGTGTTTTTAGTGTCTGACCATGATAAATACTAGTCTATATGTGAACAGATTCTGATCCCTGACAGAATATATACAGTATAGTAAAAGGTGCCCATTTTTGTTAAGTTCTCTTCTTTTTAATTATCTAATTGCTTCAGCATCAACTTCAATTTGCCTAGAATTTCAAGCTTATCTTTCTATCTTTTCCTCTGGGAAACTAAAAGAATTTAAATTCTGGGTTTTGTTTATGTTTAATTTAAAAATAGACCCTAAATTCAGAACTATGAAGTATTAGTTCTAGACTCATGAGGTCTTAGAATTAAAATGCTTCATTGACTGGAGAAATGTTGTTCAGTGTTAGATTGGCATTTTGAGAAGAATCCTGAATATTTCATTTTCTTTAACAGCTATTTTATTTTCAGGTTCAGATCCAGGAAAAAAACAAGAGAGTCAATGAAGCCAGAAGAAAATTCCAAGATTCAAATAACTGAATTCTGATAAAATTTCCACCACATCTGGTGAACTAGAAAAGAGATACATAAGACTCGGTGAAGAAAAGAAAGCCTTTCCTGCTAAAATGGATCGATTATAATGACTGACACTAAAAAGGACTCTACTGTTGAGATATACTTTTCATACAGCAAACTCTGGACCACTCATCCAGAGAATCCCCTTGCTTTTAAAAACAAACCATTTCCAGGGAATGGAAACTATTTTCTTACTAATTAATTTGATGGAATGGGTTTGTAACATTTTTTTAATGTGTTAGTCAAGGATCAGTAAAATCTGTATAAAGATTAATATTAATTTCTAAGCATACAGACATTATTTAAACAAAAATAATTTTATTGTACTAACACAACTGTTAAGTGACAACAGTGTGAATGTGAGTGAAGCACCATATTCAAAAGTACAGTCATTTTTGAAGGCAATGCTTACATATTGCAAAAACTAAATGATTATATGCAGTATCCCTACACAGAAAATTTTATACACTCCTTTGAGAGAAAATGATGGCAGATAAGGAGCTCTGGTAGCATAGTGGCTAAGATACTTGCCTGCTAACCAGACGGCTGGTGGTTCAAACCCACCAGCCACTCCTCGGAAGGAAGGTTGGGCAATCCTACTTCCATAGTGATACTGCCTCGGAAACCCAAGGAGGGGTCGCTATGAGTCGGGGTCGACTCGACGGCACATAACAACAACAACAACAATACCATTTTACAAGTGATACATATTGAGCAGCCTGGCTCGTGTGGCCCATCTGCCTTCAAGAAGGGAGCCAAGGCTACAATTTCAACAGCTATACCTCATAACCTATAGTCAATGGCCCACAGTAGTAGTGCTCCTTGTGAGCATATGACTAACCCCTCTGTTTCTTAAGACTAACTTAAGAAATATTTTGCCAGTGAAGAGAATCAGGAAAACTGTACCAACCAGTTGGACTGGTAGAGAGATGGTTTGTCTGCCTCACAGCCAAGAGAGGCCAGCACCAAGGAAGAAGACTGTCAAAGCCAACAATCTGGAAAGCCTATTATTAAAACACGGTTCTTCCCATGAATATATACTTTCCTAAGCACAGTATTCACCTGTATCCTCTCCAGCCAAATGTGCACCATGGTCAGCAAGGACAGAACTTCAGTTCCACAAATGAGCAGTATAAAAGATAAAGCCACTAATAGGATAACCATAGTATTACCATAAGCTCAAAATATAAATGTCAGCTGTCCATCTTACCATATGTTAGGCATGCTGAGATGATTATCATAGCAAGAAGCTCCTCCTGGAAACTTGAGGCAATATGCTTTCATTGTAAGTGGCTTCCCTGAATGTAGCACTTTCATACATCCAATGCTATAGGGCACTGGCAGAAATAGGCAGGGACTGTCTGGTTTTTTTGTTGTTTTTTTATGCCACTTGGTGGCATCATCTCCTAAATATAATTATCTTCAAAAGCAAATTTTCGTTATCAAATAATTTTACAAAGGAGCCTTTGGTGTAACATCTTGATAAACTGTTCTGATTACTTCTGGTTAACTCAGAATTTTTTCTCTGTATTGTCCTATTTTTAACACATATTTTATATTTGAAGCCCTGACACACTGTTCCTACTTTGTGACTGTTATTTTAAAACCCTGTAGACCATCTTAGAATAGGTTGTGCTTTCTCACTGGACACGCAGCTGCAAAGCCTCAGTGTTTTTCTGTCTCCCGTTGCAGCCTGTCTGGATTACCTTTCCCTCCGCCCCACCTGATACTACGCTGCCTGTCCCACAGTGGGCAGGTCATGCTGTCTCCTAAGACACTCTCCCTGAAGTTCCCACCGGTAGTGACTGTTCACTTCAGTACTTCTGGTATTATCACCGTCACTCAGTTGGGGACTTGTCTGGAGGCTAGGGACTTCATCTTGCTAATCTCCTTATCCCTCCCAACCTTCCCCCGTGCCTCCTACTGCTGCTTAGCAGAGTGCTTTATTTTGTGTCATAGGCATTTAATAACTTTATTTTAATTAAAATACCCTGTACCTCTAGCTTGGTGAAAATGTTCTGTTTGATACTTAGAAATATGAGTTTATAAGTGCCAACATATTAAATGCTCTTAAACCTTTTTTGAAATATAGAAATTAAGGTTGTGTTATTTAACCCTTTTTTTGTTTTGTTTTGTTTTTGCCATTTGTAATGGTGCTTTATAATTTGTAACAGTAAATGATGACCTTTGAAAATCTGTTTATGAAAAGGATCAAAGATCAAGTAGATCAATACATACCAAAAAGGTATTTGATTAAATTCTTGACATTTTTAATGCTCTTAAAATTAAGTCTAAAAAGGAAACTTCCTGAACTTGCTTATGAGTTTCAATTTCAGACCAACAACCAACACTATCCTGTACATTACAGTGAAACAGTGGAGACATTCCCATTGTCAAAAGTTTTATTACTTCTATTAAAAAACATTTTTGGCATGTTCCAGGAAATACCACATTAATTTTACCCAAAGAATGTGATCTTTACTCTCAGTTCCTGGGACATGATCTCTTTAAAAACCTTGGAATTTAAATGTCTTGCATAAGGACTCCAGACCACACCTAACTAGCAGGTTAGGTGAAGTGATAAGGTGACTCTAGAGTAGGGGCTGGCCAGGTCAGAAAAACCTACTTTGTGATCACCTCGTGGTATCAACTGACCTCAGAAAGAGGGGCTGGAATTTGCTTTTCATAATGAACCAAACCCAAATCTATTGCAGTCAAGTCCATTTCTACTCATGGTGACCTCATGTGTTACAGATTCCTCCACAGGGATTACCTGGCTGTAATCTTTATGGAAGCACATCACCAAGGCTTTCTTCTGCAGTGCCACAGGGTGGGGTCAAATTGCCAACCTTTGGGTTAGTGAGTGCAAACCATTTGCACCACCCAGGGGCTGGTGGCATAGTGCCTAAGGCATTTGACTGCTAACCAGAAGGCTGGCGGTTCAAACCCACCAGCTGCTCCTCGGAAGGAAGATTAGGCAATCTACTTCCGTAAAGATACTACCTCAGAAACCCAAGGAGGGATCACTATAAGTTAGAACCAACTCGATGGCAAAGAGTTTGGTTTGGTTTGGTTTGGTTTAGGGACTTCATAATAACTCTAGACACTGAAGCTCCATGGGCTTCCTAGTTGGTGAAAGACATCTATGGAGGGTAGCATGCCCTTTGAGACACTGAAGACATTTGAGACGTTGAAGGTTCATATTGGGAACCTTCCCAGCCCTTATCATACACATCTCTTAGTTTATATCCTTTTTGCTATCTTAAAGCTGTACTCATAAATACGGTATTTGCTGTAAATTCTGTGAGTTGTTGCAGTGAGTTATCAGAGCCAAAGGAATGGGGGGAGCAGGAAGTCAGAAGTGAAGGAGCCCAGAGCCAGTGCCTGGCATCCTGAAGAGTAGAGGAAAATTCTAAATTTGTAGCCAGCTGGTCAGAAGTGAGGGTGTCCTGTGGACTCCCAAATAAGTGGCTGACATCTGTCTAGTATTTGGCAGTCTGAAGAATGGTGTACAGTGAA